ACAGATGGACAGGCGGGTGGTGGTCATTAATCACTAGGGAAATTCAAATCAAAATCACAATGACCTACCACTGTACACCCACTGGGGTGGCTATTATAAAAACAAAACAAAACAAAACAAAACCCAGAAAATAAAAAGGGTTGGTGAGGACATGCAGTGACTGGAACCCTCGTGCACTGCTGGTGAGAACATGAAATGGTGCTGCCACCGTGGGAAAGTTTGGGGGTTCCTCAAATGGTTAAACACGGGGTTACCATATGACCCGCAATTCCACCCCTAGGTATAGAGTGTTCACGGCAGCACTATTCACAGTAGCCAAAATATGGAGGCAACCCAAGTGTCCGTCAATAGAAGAATGAATAAAAAAAATGGGGTATATACATACAAAGGGGGGAATATTATTTCCATAAAAAAAGAAAGAAGCTCTGCTTCACGATCAAACAAGATCACGCTGAGTGAAGGAAGTCTGACACAAATGGACGAAGGCTGTATGGTTTCACTTGTATGAAATATCTGGAATGGGCGAATGCACAAGACAGAAGGAGATGAGAGGTCGTGGGGCTCGGCGAGGGAGAATGGGGAGGTACTGCTCAACGGGCACAGAGATTCTGTCAGTGCTGATGAAAAGGGTTTGGAAATGGACAGTGGTGCTGATCGCACAACATTGCGGGTATCATTCATGCTGCTGACTTGTACAGTTCAAAATGGTTAGAAGAGCAACTTTTATGTTATATATATTTTACCACAGCAAAAAAACAGTAAGGGAAAAAAAAGAAAGGACACAGGAGCCAGCTGTGGGGGCTCCACAAGCCACATCTGGAACAACTGGATCGTCAAAATAAATAGTGACAGTGCAAGATTCAAGAGAGCAAGAATCCAGGAGTCCACACTGACATAAGTAAATGAATGAATGAATTCATACATTCATTTATTTCCCACTGGGGAGGGTCTCCACACTATCAAGAGAGTGAAAACACAACCCACAGAATGGGAGAATACATTTACAAATCACAGAGCTGCTGAGAGATTAATATCCAGAATACATAAAGAACTCCTACAACTCAACAGCAACAAAAAAAAAACAGTGGAAACCTTCAGCCCTGGGATGGGGAGGGAGCGGAGGCTGAGGGGGTTCCCTTCCCCAAGGAGGGGTATGCACAACCCCACTTCAGCTACTAGTCCCCCAGGATCTCCCCATCTCCT